TGTTATATGCTCAGTTTTTGTTATTAACGATGTGATTTTACACTCTATTTACTCTTAAATGGGACGAAGCGAGTGAGTGAGTAGGGTTTGACGCCGCTTTGAACAGTATTGTAGTTATATCACGTCGTTATGCCAATTCCGCTGAATGCGGCTACTGATATCATCTTGACTTTATTTTATTAATTAGATGCAGATATTCTGCTGTCATGTTTGTGTGTTTCGTTGTTTGTTTAACGCCGCACTCAGCAATATTTGATTGGTTGGTTGGTTGTTTTGTTGTTTTACGCCGCACCCAGCGATATTCCAGCTATATGACGGCGGTCTGGACCAGAAAAGCCAGTGATTGATATCATGAGCATCGATCCACGCAATTGGGATCGATGATATGCTTCAACCGAATCACCGAGCCTGACCACCCGATGCCGTTAGTCGCCTTTTACGACAAGCATAGTCAGCAATATTAGAACCTGGACAAATCAATCCAGTGATTGATATCATGAGCATCGATCAACGCAATTGGGAAACGATGATGTTAACACGGAATGTCCACGGGTGCTACAGTTATGATGCAGGACTAGTATTTGATGTTTTCTGAACTAACACTGGAGAGGTGCTGACAAAGTTAGAACTACAATCAACGTCAATCTGAGATACGAAACCACGATCATATGGTTTTGACACGCTCTCTATGTGGGAGGAAAGCCAGAAGTGATGAAGGACACGAGGGTGGGTGGGACGACTGGATGCTTGGAAATAATGGTTGGATAATTTGTAAATAGCAAACGTCTGAAACTATTGTGACGAGTTGGTTTAGACAAACAAAGAACTTTCAAGACATTTAAGACGAATTGTTGCTTTTGGATATATATTTATTTTGCATTTCATCGGTATTATTTTGCAGCGAACGGACTGTACAGAAATCAGCGTCTGTATGGACATCATGGCAATTGCCTCTCTGTTATAATTACTTTAATTACCCCACTGCTACTACTGTTGGTTTGGTTGGTTTGTTGTTTAACGCCGCACTCAACAACATTCCAGCTATATGACGGCGGTGTGTAAATAATCAAGTCTAGACCAGACAATCCAGTGATTGAAATCATGAGCATCGATCCACGCAATTGGGATCGATGACATGCTTCAACCAAGTCAGCGAGCCTGACCACCCGATCCCGTTAGTCGCCTTTTACGACAAGCATAGTCACCTTTCACGGCAAGCAAAAGGCTGCTACTACTGCCTTTTACTGTCACCTCGCTGCTACTACATCCGCTACGTTTACTGTTAGTATGACATTTACTGTTACTAAATACTGATACAACCTGTTACTGTTTTCTGTATGGTAAGTACAATTGCTACCACCACTGTTATCATTTCCATAGCTATTAATGCAATATTAACCCTTGAAGATCGGGGTTAACATAGGTCTTCAGCAACCCATGCTTGCCGTAAAAAGGCGACTACGTTTGTCGTAAGAGGCGACTAACGGGATCGGGTGGATCGACTTGGTTGATGTATGTCATCGATCCCAATTGCGTGGATCGAGGTGCATGATGTCAATCACTGGATTGTGTGGTCCAGACTCACTTATTTACAGACCGAAGTCATATAGCTGTAATATTGCTGAGTGCGGCGTTAAACAACAAAAAACATAATACAACATAAGCATTATTGTTTTTGCTGTTGTATACTGATGGAAACAAATTAGGGAACAATGGAAAATATAGGGAAATAAGCCCTACTCTCAGTACAACTGAAATAGCACGCATACAAATTCAACACGTCAGAATTAAATGTTGAGATGTGCTTGTGTGCATTGTTCCTAACGCGTAGTTGTTAGACAAGTCTGTGATCCCATGATAGCATATAATTTTACTGTCTAAAACAAAATGTTCCCTTGTTCATTTCTATCAGCATATTTATTACTTTTAACAAGTACTCTACTTTCGTCTTAATGATGTTATATCCAAGAAGTTCAACTGCTGTGTTGGGGCAACGAGTTCTTAAATGCAAAGTACTTTCGCTCCTTTACGGAGGTCAAAATTTGTTTTTGTTTTTTTATTTTGAAATATATTTTTAATCCTTGTTTAATATTGGACATATGCATATGAATAAACCCTCATGCAAATATATTGATTGCATTGGCATTGTGAATAATTCAATTCTTTGATGTATTCGTTGAAACATTTAAAACCTTGCATATGGAAACCTCGACAAGGACTAATATATGAAGAGACATATTCCTTTATGAAAAACATTAGATGCCAAACCACACCGTCTCGTCCTTGCCCGACACAATGGGAAACCAATGTCCAGCTGATTAAACGACAAAAAATGAAAATTGAGTCTTATTGGTGGTATTGAGGCGTCTACAAATATCTCTCCAATAAAATCCCATCACGATGACTTTGAAAATGAATACTTCCGACCCCTAATACTAACATCTTACAAATTATTGGTCTGTCTCCACTATATGAAGGGCATCTGATTTCAATATTTCCGTGTCACTGCTTGCGGACCATCGTGACAGACGCATTGTTTAAGGAAGAAACGTTTTCAATTTCAACACTAGGATGTTTTAATTCATGGTTCTGTTGTCTTTGAACGGACATTAATTGACTGAATTATCAGATAAACGCCACTTGGCAATGACGGCATTTTTGTTTACTTTTTTAATTCACCTGAATGATGGAACAAGTTGACGAAATATATGTGTCGTCATCGGGATTGCGGCGTTAAAAAAACAACCCAAAAACCAAAACCCCAAAAAACATACAAAGCATGTGGTTGATGTTTATTATAGATGGGGATTTCTTTGTATAAAGAGATACTAAGTGATTGAGTGAAGACAATCTTACATGAAGTGTCCGAGCACTGATTGTATTTCTTATCAGGGCCCACTTGCACTTAGCGCTAAGACTATTGTAAGCCTATGCTAAAGTGTGGAGTTACGATCATCTTAGCGCTAAGATCGCTTTGAGCAAGTGGACCCCGAACAGAAATACATGCTTCAATGTAACGAGTTACACTATTACCATTATCCGTCATCGTTTGCGTTCAATGGCACTCGCAGTGGATTTTATGTGTGTTCATTCTTAAGGATTATGTTTTTACTTTGTCACACGCACGCACGCACGCACGTACGCACGCACGAACGCATACACACCACCACAACTTACACACCCTCAGCCTGTACTGGGGTTAATTCTTACCCATGCGCCGACAAGTGCACTTGAGTACGGTATTGACTGTAGTATGTCAAATATATTGGCATTAAAAGGGCCAACCACACGCGCACACGCACGCACATGCACATACACGCACACACACTGAAAAGGCAAGAGAGGAAACGTATGGTGTGGGGTAAAGGAAGAGTGGTTGGTTGGTTGTTTAACGCCGCACTCAGCAATATTCCAGCTATATGACGGAGGTCTGTAAATACTCGTGTCGATTGTCTGGTCCAGACTCGATTATATACAGACCGCCGTCATATAGCGGGAACATTGCGGAGTGCGGCGTTAAACAACAAACGATATAATTACACGCGTGCTTCATATAGATTCATACGAATTTGCTTATCTTTAATCATATTAATAGTGAACAAAATGGTCACGAAAATAACATTGTCAAATGTGAGAGGAATTAGAGTAGAATTTATAATCAGCTTAGTCATCCCGGTGTTAAAGAACAAGAAGCTTGCGCATGAATATAACGCCACAGACGTCTATACTAATCGCAGCCCTTCCTGCAGACAAATTACATGTCTGGAGACCAGAAGTACGTAGGTACCAACGGCCAGAAAATTCGACAAATCGGGTGTCAAAAGCTAGTTGCCCCGCAAGACCTAAATGCCGATAATATTGCAGCTGCCGTTAACATGTTCACAAATTAGCGAAAGGACTGATTCGGAATTTATCACTTCCGAGAGACAATGCCGCCTCTGTATTCTCCAGTGTCCGGGAACTTCCTAATTTCTCCATGCTGACATTATGTTAAAGGCGAATACATGTGAATACCGGAGACACACGTGTGAATCAACTCTAGCGTGGAAAACATGTTCACACCTTAAGGCTGAGTCTAGTTGTGTAATACACTGACATGTCTAGCGAAAGTCAAGTTTAACAATACGAGGCTCGTAGGGCTGTGTTGATCGTGTTGATCCCCATGGCGTATTAGAAAATGATTGAATCTATTGATTGATAACATGGTTGTGGTGACGTTTACTCTGAATATCTAGTGACGAAACGAGAGAGAGAGAGAGAGAGAGAGAGAGAGAGAGAGAGAGATATGAAATGAAATGATAGGTAATTATTCTGGTAGAAGAGTATGTTTCATATTAGTTGAAACTGGTCGATTCATTATTAAATTGAACTTTAAGTTTTCTAATACATTTCATTTTTCTTTTCGGTGTTTTTAACATATGTAACATATGATGAAATAATTAAGTTAAGTATGTAAAGAGGTTGCTATCGTTAATATGACTGAACATAATTTAAACTAAGTTTATTTTTTTCGTTAATTGTCTTCATATTAAACCTAAAAGTCGGGCTTGTTAAAAAAGATGCCATACCAAAATATAACAGGAGCCAGGAATGAACATATAAACACTGCTGGAAAAAACCTAATGATATAAGTTTCTAAAGATATCAAATCAATGTTGGCAAACATCAAAGTTCAAAACAAAGTAGCTTACCTCCTAATTAAAAAGTATTAACAAAGTATTTATCTTAAATAGTTCCGTACCTTGTTAAAATATTGCTGCGGAAATAGAAATAAGAACTTTTCAGCAAACATTAACACAGACCTTCTTGCATTGCCTGACCGAGGACTGTCTGTCTGCGAAGAAGAAACGAACGCATGGAGATTTGGGAAAATCGATCGCAAATTAAATAAGTCACGAGCGTTCACAACACGAACCAATCAGATTGCTGCTAGAGCTAATTAATATCAACAAATATAACCATCGCCGCGACAATACTGTCTTGCCGGAAACGAGCACCAGGGGGCGCGGGTATAATAATACGGACAGAGCCGGATCGGACCATACCCGTTAATACCAGAGCCGGAACGGGACTCGTCGTGACTATTCTGACGCTTTGACTTCGACTTGAAGAAACCTGGTGACAGTCCCGTTGCAGAGATCTTCTGCGTGTTTGACGGCAACGAGCCAAGACAAGAGACATTTAAGTTTGGGTTTAATTGAGCTGAGACCAGGGTTAGGATTTAGGTTGATGAAAACAGTGTCTGCGTGGCATCTTTTCGTGGCAAGTATTTTTTATTCACTGGACATCGACGGGGATCGCCATCCAACCAGCAGACAAGGGGGAAGACGTCCTTGGCAACACCTAAGACTTTGTATTCACTGACATAAATATTGACTATCTCAAAGGAGGGCCACCGGTTTCAGGATGGTTTGACGCAAGAGGAGCCTCAAAATTATTCTAATCAGATGCACTTCTCGAGATGACTTCTTGATCATTAACCGGTTGACATTCTAGAAGACAAATGAGAGCCTCGCCGTTCGAACCCCATCCCCACAGGTGAGTGAAGTATTTACTTATCAATCTAAATTTGATCTTGTTGGAATTAAATTTAACTTTAAAGTTTTCACAAATCTTTATTCACTCTATTTTATATGCATTTATCTAGTGGTTCTTTTTCATACAAATATCTATTAAGACAAAATGTATTCTCTTACTTACTTAACCACCTGGCGTCTTTCATAATTATTAAAACACAATGGTAATCATAAACTTATTCACGTCAAAAATGAACTATTTTTTATCATTATTGTGCTGGAATGTGTGTTAAAAGGATGTCTGAAGTAGCATATGTGTTTTTTTAATGTTTGGCTAAATTTGTCAGCTATCGCCAACAACTGACGGGATGATGTAAATCCGACTGGGGTCCATGCAGGTAGCAAAAGTACTGTAACTCCCCATGCTCCCAGCGCGTTGATCATCCTTCAGTTGGTGGCGAACATATCCCGTTTTTATAATGTGTTGTCGAATGATTAAGTTAGTTGTCCTTTTTACATGTTCTCAAACTGGTTTTACGAAAATCTGTGATATTCTAGTTATTATACTGCCCTTCGTCGGCAGAATTTTATACAGCTTAATATATATTGTTGATGTCAAATTTTGTTTCGTCACGATATGGTTGAAATATTGCCGATGTGACGTTATACTTTAACTCACTCACTCACTGAAGTTGTAACAAACATGTCTCACGTGGTCAGGAGAGGGTGATGTTCGTTATCTGCCAGTGTGTTATGGGATGTAGACAGTCCAATCAGCAGAGCGGTTTCATGCGTCAGCTATCAACACAATTTACCCCAGTTCATAATAGTCCATTGTCACACACTGACAGATTGTGTTATAATAACTTAGTAAGGCTCCGTGTGACATCGCCCCGTGTTGCTGTGTATCCGCATATCTTATGTGAACTACCGGGCTGAAGATCGTATACACTTTGACAATTGGATCTTACAAACAATTAGGTTGAAAATAGTCTCAGAAACACTGACCATGATACGCGTATCAAATACACGATGTTCCCTGTCTTCTTTAAACTCGAGTATTCACACCGCCGTCACATAGGAATATGTCTTATACAACAAACGAACAAAGTTAAACAACCAACAACTAAACCCAAGAAGCCCCAATCCCAACGCCCATCCACATCCAATCTTAATAAACTGCGGATAAAAGAAAATATACCTTTAAAATTAGTTTTGACAAATAAATTACAAACGTTATCAAAACGTTACTCGGCTGAAAACGCTCGGAGAAACACTGCAAACTTAATATTTAAATCACAGCCAAAATAACCCTATAAAACGCATCACCATCGAATAACCATTTCTTGTTTGTTTCATGTTTAGCCACCATCAAACTTTGGCGCAAGTGTTCCTTTACGTGTCAGGTTAATGTTAATTTGATTAGGAATGCAGTCTTGCTCATCTCTGAGGATAACATCGAACTGGTTATTGTTTTATACCACACCGGTACCCTTACTGAGCTGCATTTGAGCACGCAATACGTGATTTTCTAAATACGTGTTTACATCACACGTCGGACATAATTGAACGTGTCATTGGGTGTCTGTATACTTAACACATTCAAGGAAAAAAGATGTAACTTAACCACTTGGACAAATCACATAGATCTGTCAGATTCAAGACTTGGTGAATTCGCAATTATTGTCTCAAGCAACGGGTACAAATACTTATATGTTTACATGAATGAATATACATGATGTTATATTAGTACAAATAGTGTCAATGCTTTAACAATAATAATAACATATTCACAGTGCTATTTTAATCAAGTGTGCCAATGTCGTTTCATTATTTTCCTTTCAAGTAGTGATAATTTTGTCACCTATATTCGAGACGATATCAAGAATTCAAACAAAATATAACTTCATGCTATTAACGTTTCATTCAAAAAGGTATAATTAATTAAGACATCGTCATAAACTATCACGATTATTAATGTAGAATTTACTGTTATGTACCCAGTATTAATTATTAAGTGTATTGACCAACATTACTTCAACTCTAAGTATTCAACTCTGATTTTTGCAAAAAAGGGTATGAATCCTAATAATACAGTAGCTTCCTATCCCAGAAGAATATTTCCAATTAAAATTTCTTTATTTCAAAATGTTTAGTTGTGAAATAAGCAGGGTATTTTACCCTGTTACAAAATTAGAAGGACGATGAATATATTTTTATGTTTGTTTTTTCACGCCGCACTCAACAAAATTCCAGTTATATGACGGCGGTCTGTAAATAATCGAGTCTGGACCAGACAAATTCAGTGATTGACATCATGAACATCGATCTCCGCAATTGAGATAAGATGACATGCATCAACCAAGTCCACCCGATCCCGTTAGTCGCCTGTCATGGACAATAGATAATATACCCTCATTTCTGAAACCCGTTTGAGAAGCATACGATGTTGAAAGTGAACACGTCTTCCTAATTCTCCATACACAAACATATAATTATCCTCACAATATAGCTATTGTAGAAATGATTTAAAAGGTTTGAAATTGCCACAAAAGGGTTTAGTCAGCATATTCGTCACATCGCTAATCACAGAGCAGAGCTTCAATCTCAGGTTATTCGATGCACGTGCGCGAACAAAAGTGTGTCACTTCTACCTGTAATAGGAGTCGGCTTGACAGGTGCGGGGGAGGGTCGGGTGTTAATTGCAGGTTCACGAGACATCGACTTGGAGAGATGGAATTATTGCCAACAGAGACAAAGGTGTCATCGCTGATATCTCAGCACGATCAGAATGTTATAACATAGAAACAACTAATAACATAATCGTGATTAAAAGTGAGAACTTCGCATAGAAACTAATCAGAAAACGTCATTAGCCACGTAAATATTATTGACGTTATAATATGACAAAAGAATAAAACGTAGCTGCCATAGCAACCATGGTTTTATACACGTTATATAAAACCATGTACAAACCCTGATTATAGAGAAGAGAATTCGGTATAGAGTCAGGTAAAGACACGGACACTAACTGAGTGTAGAACGTTATCGAAATAGTTTATAGTTAATTGAAACGAAACATTGTCATCAAAGATCAAAGATAACATACAAGTTAAGTTTTGTAGCTGTACTGCTACATTTTGAAAACGTAGTTTTCTGGGTTTTTTTAAATAGGAACACATCGTTAGTTCGAAAAAAAACCCTGCTTTCTGGAAGAATGCGGAAGAAATGTTTATATCTTATTTATTTACGCTTAATTCTCTAATTTTGAATTCTTTGGATACGCCACAGTTTATAATACTTACATCCAATTCTGTCTCCATGGTTTCCATTGTGCCGCGTGTGGAATGTCCACTCTCTCCACCGTAACGATTTGCAGTAAAGAATGGAATAAGAATATATTAATAATTAATTCGTCTGTAAATTACCATTCCTACTTTGTTGTAGTTTTAAGTGTATATTTGATGGAAAAAGTTGTGGCTTTAATCAATATGTTTTTCACAAGAAATGACGCCGTAAACAAAACACGTTTTCTCAAGAATTCATCTAATGTGAAAGTAATTTGAAAAAAGTGATTTTTTACTTATTTCTGATATACATCGATTTCTCAATACAATCATCTGTTGTTTTCTGTGTTGAAACGTATTCATTTCTTAAACGTCGAAACAAGAGAGATATACGGCCATTTTTTCTGACTGAAATATTAATTATATATTCTATTTCCATTTAAAGATTATTTCATACATGCACATTATTTTATTTATCTCATTTGAAAATAATCATTTATGTATGACGAGGGAAAGTTCTTTTGCTCATTACTTCCGTCGGAAATAACAATTGCCATTTAATTTTTAGTGTCAACCGTGAAACAAGACACATATGTTTTTATATTGTATACGTTTATTAAATAATGAAATCATATTTCTACTGCATATGCATTTGAATATTGATGACTACATATTTTACATCATGTACGACCTGTGAAGATAGAATAGGTCTTCAGCATGCTTGTCATAAAAGGCGACTACGCTTGTCGTAAGAGGCGACTAACGGGATCGAGTGGTCAGGCTCGCTGACTTGGTTGATGCATGTCATCGTAACCCAAATGCGTGGATTGAGGCTCATGATATTAATCACTGGATTGTCTGGTCCAGACTCGATTATTTACACATCGCCGTCATATAGCTGGAATATTGCGGAGTGCGGCGTTAAACAACAAGCAAACAAACAAAACTTCATGGGCGTCTCCATCCTAATCATGACACGGTGTTGTGTTATCTGAAGACATGTGAACTGCACCATGACTTATTATCACTCAGATCTCTGCTATTATACAGACATTACATCACATAACAGTATGTCTTACATACATCTGAAAAGCCTATTCAGGCGTAAAATCATATGGTTCTCAAATTTTACCAACTCGTTTCTTTTAATTGTTGTACTCGCCAAAGAACAAGAACCTTTCTTCAAACTATATTCTTGTTAGCTTTTGCAACTGATATATATGTCTGCATTTCTCTATGTACACATTTCCCTCCCAAGAATCTGCGGTTTCATTAACTTAATGTTGGAATTTGTTTTCAACAAGAAAGAACTGCTCTCTCTTACAGTTTTATTCATATTAGCTTATACAAACCCTTACACAACTCATATAAATCAGCGATAACACTGGGTCATAGAAATCAATTCAAATTGTCATCGGCTCTCTGTTCCGCGTCCCCAAACACGGCTTATTGAATTGATCGTGCGTTTAATCAAAGGAAAGACGATCTATGCTAACCAGATTACGGGGCAGTAGTGGGATTATTACCTTCATGAGGAAAAGCTAGTTTGTCAGTGGAGAGACGCCGGGCCCAACTTTTAGGACGGGTCAATTTAGTGAGAGTGCAAATTAATTACGTCGTGTGTAGTTAAATGTAGTTGTGATATATTCCATCGAAGGATGCGACAGAGAAACGTCGCTTTCTGATGGGTGGTTTGGTGATATGCGGAAGATGGGTCAGAGTGACGTCATTTTTT